CTAAAAATATCATGCTATTATATAGTTACCTACAGCGCATGTAGTAATTACAAGATTTTTGAAAATGAATCAACTTAAAATTTAATTTTCCTTTTGTCCTTACCCTTAAACTTCCTTTTCTCACTAGTGTTGGATACCCCATAAGTTCCAGGTTCTCCTGTACTGACACGTTTAGGTTTTTTGGAAGCTGAGCCTCTTTCCTCTTCTTGCTTGACTTTAGTGGAACCAGAAGCTAGTATGTAAGTAAGATGAAAAGGTTAGGGTAAAAATGTAATATTTTATTTTTGTGCTTGCATTTCCTCCTGCTAACTAGTTTGTCCATAGAACTGAAGTTTAAGATATTTGGCCTGCAGAACAGGTATAATTTGTTGCGTTTTTCAGGCACACGGAGATAAATGCTTGGCGTGTTCAATATTAGCTAAACACATGTTGTACAATGTTGTAAAAAGGCTATTGATAAAAGGATGTAAATCAAGGTTAAATAAATCACAAGATTCTTACGATCAATAACCAACTGGAATTTATTGGTAACTACATGTTGCAAAGTTATCTCTACCTAGGTGGTTGTAGGTGGTTGTAGGTGGTTTTAGGTCGTTCCATGTTTTAGTACTTACAATGAAATCTTTGACTGGGACGAAGTACCTGACATGACACCAATGAAATGACTATCATTCATTTATGTGAAGGACTGCCAGTCAGATTACATTGCCATGAATGTCAAATATTCAAAATTTCTTTTTAACCCCATTAGCAATAGAAAAATGATCATGTCATACATTTACAACTCTGTAAGGCATGATTAATATGCCTTTTCTCATTGGAAATCTTACAAAAATGTGAACAAAACTGTTCTCTCCAAGTTCATAATTTAATGATTTATGTACTGACAGCTAGTGGGGGTATAACCTATTGTGAGTCAGTAACAATTCATCACAAAAAAACTATTTTGGGAGAGACATTGTAGGTTCTTCAAGTTTGTAAAGAAATTCTACATGATCATGCAATCCTAAAAATATCATGCTATTATATAGTTACCTACAGCGCATGTAGTAATTACAAGTTTTTGAAAATTAATCAACTTAAGAGCTAATGTCAGCATGCATCAAACAAACAGCGGCAAGTCACGTAAATTTGTTTTCACTCCTACTTTCATATTTTGTAGCGCAATATGGTCTAATAATTGTGGTGTAGTTTTTTTGTAAAAATATATTTTAGTTTTCTAGAAATGACTTTTTTCGTTCGACCGCTCAAATATGCAAATTTTCACCGTGAATATTACCCGAGTTGTGTGACCTCATGTAACGAATGTACTAGACCTACGGTATTTCTGTCAACACAATCCTTTGTTGTATCATCTAAACTTAATCCCCTGTCGTTATTGGAGCTGGCAAAGAAATATTTATTTTTTGGTGAATATTTTTGTCCGACATACTTTTCCTATGTCGAAAAGTAGCATCAAAACAAAGACAGTTTTAACAATGACCGATATGACAGAATCTACTGAACTTCAAGCTTTTAAAAGACCAAAGGATGGTTATAAAGTTACTGCAAAAATTTCCTTGTGTATTTGTGTTGTTCTATCTTGAGACGAACTCAAAGTCCGGCAAAATTTACTTGATAGCGACTATGGAATATACATGGTGCGCCTACTTGTCGCCACCGTTAACTGGCGTAAATCACTACAATCTGCAAAAAATCTAACATAACACTCTTACCTTGTTTATTTATGATTTTATTAGCCGTTTCGATTATTATATTACACCTGGGTATTACTTTTTGACAGGAGCCCAGGTTTTGCGTTGTGTTTTCCCCTCCCTAGCTTATATCATAAGCTAGTCACGCAATAATTGATACCAACACAAGTGAATATTTACCATGTACAAAGATTTTTGTTTACGTTGAATTTAAAATATTAAAACATGTCCTTTCTTCACTAATCGTTGTTTCAGCGGCAGCGAAGCAGTTAAAAGTGGGTTGTTGCTTCAACGCTACTGAAATTTTTAGTATTCAGAGAGGCGAGCAAAGCGTGATGCTCTGGAAATAAAAACTTTTAGGGGCCTTTTACATGATATCCGAATGAGTTTTGTTCAAGAACGAGTTCATACCGGCTACCACATAATAACCAGCGCAAAATTTACTCGAAACGAGTCATTTCTGAGTGAGTTTATTGGGGTTTTCATTACAGAAACCACCCTCATTCTGGACGACCTTTTCTACCTGTACGATGTAAACGCGGCACGGCTCTCATATTTGTATGAATCCTCTGTAGGAGCGAGGGAAGCATTGAAAAAGACAGAAAAGGACATAAACACTTGTTTTTACAGGCTAATTGTTGCCACTCCCACACGGATAAGACTTAAGTACCTTTTATAATTTTATGACGATCGTTTTCGAAATTTCAGGCGCGCACCTCTTATGTAAAGGGCTCCCTAGGGATGCTGATACGTGCCGCTCACTTGACATTTAGCAAGGACATATTCTGATGTGATTTTTGGCGAAGAGAAACAAGTTTTGTCAGCGTCTAGTTGCTAGTGCGGAAGGGCCCTTACCACCGTGTACATAATTACCAGACGGCAGAAAGCCAACAAAGTGTTCAGACATTAGTTCAGAAAACTCCGCCTCTGTCTGAATTTTTGGTAGCCTATTGACAATTCCCAATCGAAACTTGAGTGTGATGTCACGCGTAATTTTGCTCACGGTGGTAAGTAGCCTACTTACCGAAGCCGAATTGTACGAATTTTCCAGACATCTTGAGTACTATCTGTGATACATGCTTGCCAATTCCCCTGTCAGCTTTTGGAATCGACTTAACCCTACCTTTACCTTTGAAAACTTATTTCACAATTACATCGACTTGAACCTTTTCTCCGTTCTCAGGAAACACAATCGGCAAATGAAAAGTCTCTGGTGTTATCTTTACGCTTTTGAGAGGGAGACTTAATGTCTTCTTTAGTTGGGTTGCCTGTCCCTTTTCATGGTTAGAATTGCGTATACAAATTTCTATTTTTAAATATAGGTGACTCTCGCAATACTTGGTTTGGTAATTAAATGTACAAAGGTTAAATTTTATAAGTTTGAGTGCAAAATTTGGGCATGAGAGGCTTATTCGTAGGTACATTTATTCTAAACAATTTCAATCTATGTGTTCACCTTTACAAAACAAAAATCCATTGCTACATACAGACTAGCAAGTTAGTTTGTACTTTTTCTGAATTTGGAGGCTATAAGATCTTGCAGTAGCATATGTTTTGATACATTGCATTATATAAATGTCTGTAAACATTCACAGATCACGTGTCTTACCAGCTTTCTGATCCCGCTTTTTTCCTTCTTTCTTAATTTCTTCAGCAGACAAAATTTTCTTGGTCTCTTGTTTCAGAGTTTCTTTGCTGAAAATGCAACATTGTACCTTGTTCTCAAAAAATATAGCTCTTACCTATTAAATAAGTATTTTTTCTTTTTGCTAACACTGGAGGTCAATTTATTGTGATGATGGATAAATGTCAACACTAACAAATAAAATAAAATAACACAGCTAACAAGAACTCTTAAAGTATACTGAATCTCGCATAAGAATATGGCATTTTAAACAAAAAACATCCACATAAAGTGAATTATTAATCCCTCATTTTGATCTTTAGCAATTTGCATTTTTGCAAAAGATTAGTGTCTAGAGAACTTTAAAGTCACCTATAACTTCTTAGATTTTCATCGCAAGCTCAAATCAACAATGTTATGTTAGCCAACAGTGGGAGCTAGCTAGTCATTATGGAAGAGCAAAATTTTCCTGCTTAAGGTCCTTAGCATATTTAGAAGAATTAATAAAGAACCTGGCAATGCTTTTGAACTGCAGAGTAAAGGCATTAATGCAGATAAAACAATCTTCACGCTGTTGGAAACAGAACAAAATACTAACCATTGGATCCCCAAGAGTGACTTAATCTAGCATTTAATTTCTCCTTACAATATCACCCTGAACCACACATTAAAGTCATAAGAATAAAGGAAATGATCGCCAACTAATTAAAGAAGCTCTTGATTGTTAAATAAATTCTCCTTGTGTCTACTCTGGGAAGAACAGTATGGAGAATGTGTGCACACTGATTTTAAGGTATACTGAATTATAGTACAAGGTTAAACAGGTTTGAATAGAGAAGTTAATGTGACTGCCTGCTAAAATGATAGCCTGTTGAGGTATGAAGGGAAGGCCTGCCCAGTCTCTTGACCTACAGACCACTACATGTCAGCTATCAAATAAAAACAATTTGTTTACCTCTTTTTAATCGTAGCCACATTGGGAGTTTCCTTTATGAGAGTTAATTCCAATTCGGCATTGTAGCCAATTTCTCCTAACCCTCTCTCTAATGCATCTTTAACTTTCCCATCCTCAAAGTCTTTTTGAAACTTCAAAAATTTCTCCTGTGATCCACAATCCAAGTCAACAATAATTGACCCAGGCTTGACCATAGCTTTACCCCAAACTTTAACAGCCTTTTGTACTGTATCTGTAACCAATTCTGGGTTCTCACGGAGAAAAGTTACTAAACTTTTTGTTAAGTAAATACCAGCCCCAGAGACGGCAACCACCAAGAATCTAACTGCCCAACGATCATTAATCTCTATCCTAGTCTCTGAGGCCGTCCTTATAAAACTCATGGCAGGACCACTAGTACTTGGTCTAGAACCATTATCTGCATCTACTTGACTGGCCATATTTGAACACCACTTACTCTGCCAAAGACAAATATCAATTCAAAGTAGATTTTATTGGGCATCACAGGCTACCCTATGGGCAAAGTTCATGTTACAGGGGTGCCTCTTGTTAGTCTGTATAAATATTTTTGAGAAAAAAAAATTTTTACATTGCAGCTTCTAAATGAATATCGTTTTATACAAAAACGCTCACTGCACCTTCCTACTCCATTATCCTCTGTCAAACCATGCTGTTGTGACAAGAACAATGAAAAAGTCAAGAATTTTGTCTCCTTCTGTTAGATATCTACAATCTTGTACAATTCCTCTGCAGTGGCAGGCAGGTCATTGGTCTATGTGACTCCCACAAGAGCTCTTATGCTAATAAAGAAACTTCAGAACTGAAGGGTTATGGTACCCTTTCAAGGGCAGCAAAAGGAACCTTTAAAAAATCGCTGACCTCGCCATTTTTGAATCTGAACTTGTCAACCTTTGTGGTGAGTCCCAAATTTCACTTTTCCTTAAATTCCTGGGGATGTGGGGTCTTTACTTACAACAGGGGTCCTCGTTCGAAAGGAAGGTGTACAGCTTATCAAAGTTAAGATGTGCACATGAGAGCGAGAAAATTTTAATTAGTCATTAAGAGTACCGGTACCTAGCGATTAGAGACCTGAGATATATTTAATTTTCTGAGATTAAGATCTGAGGACGGCGGATGTCTACGACGGCGGGCGGAAGTTTGAATGCATGTTTACCTACTTCCGGTAGCCGTTCCCCGTAAATTCCCGCCGTAGCTGTGTTGTCTGCGACATCAAAACAACTAGTTTGCCGTTTCGTATAAAATATGAGTTGATTACATTGTTTTTACAAAATATCTTTTATAATTTTCGAGTATTTTGCGCATTATGAAGTCAATAATATTTTTAATTCGTTTGCCTACTCTTCTGGGACCTGATTTTCGAGGAAAAAAAGTGTTTTTTTCTTTCTCCACTAATCAGGTCATGGCTACAGCCGACACGAGTGCTAGGAAGATTGCGCAGTAAGTTCTCTTATTCTCTTATCTTCACGCTTTTAACAATGAATGTGGTAAAAATCAACACGAATTACGCTTAGTAAATGATAATCTCTCCATTATTTTGTGTTTGTGAAAGTGTCTTGCATATTTGGTGAACAAAAAAAGGTTCTGCTTGCAGTTAAAAAAAAGACAAACATGCAACAAACCTTCGAAGTGCGATACACAACCCTTCAATTCCACAGCATATTGTTCCTTGTTGACATGCAAAGTAGTTAGGAAGATATAGGGCTTCAGAAAGGACGGGAAGGTCACTCTAACGAAAACGAAACTCGGATAAAAACTCACTGTCATCCATATCATTAAGGTCAAATTTCCTATAACTTTCCTGGGGAAAATCTGGGTTTTTGGAGTTTTTGTTAACGTCATAAAGAAGAAGGAACTCGTCCTCTAACAAGCGACTAAATACAGGAATGGCTCCGACCTGTGATTGGATGATAAAAATAGTAAAAGTTAATAACTTGTATCTTATCTCCTTGCACGTGAGTATGGTTAACCGCGTGTCTCGAAGCGGAACAATGAAATATCAATGTGAAAACGCCCATGAGTCAAACAAGAAATGGCTACTTACATAACGAAGAGAAGGCAGAGTCTAGCTTGTTCAGCGAGGTCGTTCAGCGATATTCCGGCGATGGAAAAGTCATCTGCTGACTAGCTCCGCTGACTAAATTCATTTAGTCAGTTCACGCGCACGAACAGAGACTGGAGCCATATCGCCATCATCAAAACTTTGCAGAAGAATGCTACGAATCTCTCTAAAGGAAGCCATTACTGAAGTACTTTGTGATAAAAAACCGAAAATATGGAAACAATGCCGCCCGCGCCTTCGACTTGGTATCTTAAGGATTTTTCGCGCCTTGCGTAGACATTCGCCGTCCTCAGATCTTAAGCCTATTATCTGAGTATAGCGACGGTAAAATAGTTGTTGTTTGGGGTAAATAGTTTGGTCTCGGTCTATAAAGCCAGTGGCCTCGGTGTCTGCTGAGTCTTGATTTCAGATCGATGTCTTTTTGCCTTAAATACCGTTAGTAAAAGCATTTAAGCGCGCCACAGATTTCAATTTAAAAGATTGAACTGAATTACTTTTAGCCTTTCTTTTGCTAATAAAACTTTTCTGTTTGTTATCCTATTCGTTGTTGAACAATTCCTCGAAGCGTGACTGGATTAATTCACACTTGATCGTTCCTTTGACTAGCACAATCCATGGAGTAAAAGCGGCAATTACAAGGCTTGACTATCGTAGATACGTTACAAGGCTGTGAACTACTTACCTCACTCAAAAGTAAAAAGTTTGTGTATATGGATAGCAAATCCTGCTCCACGAAAATACTTGATCTAAGGATGCAACTTCCAAATGTAGAAGTAAAATTCAAAACATTAAGTAGCGAAGTGCCCCGTAGTGAGAATTGGGCAACAGATTACAACTTAAAAGGTTGAACTGAATTACTTTTAGCTTTTCTTCTTCCAATTAGACTTTTCAAACCGAATTGTTGCTATATGCTATCTTAACTGTTTTCGAACAATTCCGCGAAGCGTGAGTGGATATACTGTTTCACAACTGTTCATTGTATCGACTAGCACGATCAACAGAGTGGAGGCGGCAATTAAAAGGCATGACTATCCTGGATACGTTACAAGGTTAGTAAACTACTTACCTCACTCAGAAGTAAAAACTTCGCGTGTATGTTTATAGACAAGAATGACACTTCGCGTGTAAGTTTATAGACAAGAATGATATTCTTTATGATTTACAATATGGCTTTCGCAATAAACATAGTACCCAGCACGCGATTCTTGATATTGTGAACACCATACATTCTAATATGGACAATAGAAAGTACTCATGTGGAATTTTTATAGATCTTAAGAAAGCATTTGATACTGTTAACCATGAGATTCTTTTGACAAAACTTGAACACTATGGAATAAGAGGAGTTATAAATTCTTGGTTTAGATCATATCTTTCAGATCGCCGACAGTCTATTGAAATAGACAAATGCATATCTGAAACTGAAACGATCGTATGTGGAGTACCTCAAGGCTCTGTACTTGGACCCTTGTTATTTTTGTTATATATTAATGACATCCATAAATCTTCCAAGGAATTTACTTTTTATCTTTTCGCAGACGATACAAGTCTAACTTATGCAAATGACAAGTTACGTACTCTTGAACTAACTGTCAATAATGAAATTGAGAAAGTAAGCGAATGGCTTAATGCTAACAAACTAACGCTCAACGTCAAAA